TCCTGCAGCTCAGTGTCTCCTGCAGCTCAGTGTCTCCTGCAGCTCAGTGTCTCCTGCAGCTCAGTGTCTCCTGCAGCTCAGTGTCTCCTGCAGCTGAATCCTGTTGAAGCAGCGATGGATCGTGGGTGAGATTTTATTTATTTTTTTATTATCTCATGTTTCTCACTGACGCTGTGTCTCTTCTCTGACGCCTCATGCTAACCGGCTAACCAGCAGATGCTAACGACACAGAGAGAAGCATGAGCAGGTTTTTTCACATCAGAGTCTGAGTGAAGACAAACAATGGACACGTGTTTACTTTGTGACGCAGCTCAGCGCTGCAGCACAGTTCAACCTGCAGCTCCACGGTTTAATTCCCGAAGTCTGACACAGGTGGAGTCAAGATTCAGCACAGAGACCTGAAGACCAACACAGAGACATGAAGACCAACACAGAGACATGAAGACCAACATAGAGACCTGAAGACCAACACAGAGACCTGAAGACCAACACAGAGACAACGTGGAAAGAAAACCGTTTAAATTCAGTTTCAGGCGAAATTAAAGATTGAATAGAAGAGGTTTCATATAAAGGGTAGATAATAAAATAGATGATAAATATTTATAGAGCAGATATCTAAGTTACAGAGTGCTTTACAAGCATGTCCTAGAATCATGAGCACAGCAACAATTAGGAATCACAAATATTAAGACTATTCATTTAAAAGAACTCTGAAAGAAATACAATCCTCTGAAATGATTAAGGCAATCTGATAAAAGTACGTAGAAGGACAATCAAAATAATAAATAAAATAAAAGGTGATAAGAAAATGATTTAAAAAAAGATTTTAAGAGGTGATTTAGGTCGTTAAGTAAGTAAGTAGTAAAATAATACAAATAAAATGATAGAGTAAAATGGGATGTTAGATGTTTTGACAATGCTGACTAAATTAAAAGCAACTGATCTGAAATCAGAAAGCACAATTCTTTCAACATTTTTCAAGAAAAATTAAGAGAATAAAAAGAGAAGAATTAACAGGTAGAGGTAAACAAAATAAAAAAGGATACATCTGGAGAGAACATTTAAAAAAAAAAGTTTAAGGAGTAAAATAATGCAAATAAAATTGATAGAACTTTGTAAAATAATACAATGGAAGTAGAATGATGGCATGAGCTTGTAAAATTGTTTGATTTAAGGCACCTGTAAATAAGACAGTTTAAAATCTGCTGTGGATGTGTGGAGTGTTCCTAAGACTATCAAGCAGTTGGTTTGAGCTGCGTAGTCAATAAAAGCTGCTTCTCCATGATTAGATTTTAAAAACTGTGGGTAGATTTGAAACCTGATGTGAAAGTTACAGCAAATTTAAATCTTTGACTGTTGAAAACCAGCACATTGAAGATCGTCATGGGCTCTGAGAAATCATGAATGCCATTTATCTCACACTTTTCTAAGACATTTTATACAACAGACAATGAATTCTTAATACAAACAACTGTCAGATTACTTGATAATAAAAATAAATATTGAAGCAGTAAAAGATTGAATCTCTGGTTCTGCTGCCTTGAGTTTGATCAGTTTTTTTAACTGTCAACGAATGGGGAATAGAAGCACCTAGAGTTCCTCGGCCTTCTAACACACAGCTGATGTACGTTGTAGCCACAGCTCATTGAAATGCTGTGTAAGGTTCATTAATCAGCCACAGGAAGCTTCATTCTTCTGTTTTGAATCTGCTTCTGGGAAAAGAGGCATTATTGCTGCATCAGCTGGCTGCGTGTCACCATGGCAACCACTTCTCAAGCCATCCGTCCTCTCGTTGCAGGTGTTGGTGGAAAAACGCAGAAATGATCCTCTCAACAGTTTGACCTGAAGAGAAACCGCACAGGCTTTGAGCCACTCCAGGGCTGCAGATGGAGAATGGAGACCTGGGTCACATGGTGCGTGTGTGTGTGTGTGTGTGCGCCTTTGCCTTTGAACAGTGTTTGAAGTTTGAATTATAATACAGACTTTCATGTTGTGTGTGTGTGTGTGTGTGTTTTTTAATTCTGGTTTTGTTGGTAGTGGAAGCCGAGGCTACATCCATAATACCATGTTTTCCACACAAGCGCTTTGGCTCTGTATCAGTTTGAATTCCCGTCCATCCTGTGACTGTACACGTGAAACATTTGGTGGTTAATTGCAGAATTATTACGGATTGCTTGAATAATAGCTCATCTGCCATGAATGTGAACGGTCGTAAGCTGTTAGCAGAGACAACGGGTCAGCAAAGCTTGTCATTGATTGTTAATGCTGTGTTCTACACTGACAGCCCAGGCTAATGCAGATTGTTTTCTTCAGAGAAGAGGGTCATGTGATAGGAGCCCGACGAAACAGCGAAGGCTACGTCGTGACCAAAAAGGCCCGATCAGTAAGCAGCTGACTGTTCTTCTATTTTTCTCCAGATGGGGGCGCCAGTGACTCTGAATGTCGGCGGTTGTGTGTACAGCGTGTCTGTGTCCACGCTGCAGCGTTATCCAGACTCCATGTTGGGAGCCATGTTCAGAGGAGACTTCCCCACAGTGAAGGACTCACATGGAAACTATTTCATCGACCGGGACGGTCCACTGTTTCGGTGTGTCTGTGTGTGTCTGTCTGTGTTGTATGTGTTGGGGTTATACATTTTGGAAAAAGTAATTCTACAGCTAGCTGGTAAACGTAATATTAACATTTACACTGTGACATGCTAAATGTTAATGAGTGTTAGCATTTTACCAAACTACCACGATAAATGTTTGAACCCATGTCCTTCTGAAGAGGCGTACCACCAGGTGTCTTCCTGAGTCCATTACAGGATATTTCTATAGTCACCACATGTACAATGCCATCTATATATTTTTAAGCTGTTTTCATTGTAAGAAGGAACTTGGTAAGGAAGTGAAGTGAAGGAGTATGAAGGGACAGACGCATCCTTTTGGTTTTTTCATAGGATTGTTGACAAACAGAATAACAGTCATTATTCTTTCACACAGTAGTGAACTAAACTGTCAGGAAATCCAAAACAAAATTTTCCCACCCTGACAGTTAGTTTCTGTGTGAATGTACAGCAGCTCTTTCCCTCCTGTCCCGACGTTAACCGACACTTCAGAGTTTTACAGAATCATCAGCTCAGCAGTTTGGACAGATCCTGTCTGTTTATGCTGTTTCAGCTACATCCTCAACTTCCTGCGGACATCAGAGCTTACGCTACCGTGTGATTTCAAGGAGACGGAGCTGCTCAGGAAGGAGGCAGACTTCTATCAGATTGAGCCCCTGATCCAGTGCCTGGGAGACCCCAAACCCATGCTGCTCTACCCCACTGACACTTATGAGGAGGTGGTTGAACTGTCCAGTACCAGGAAACTGTCTAAATACTCAAACCCAGTTGCAGTTATCATCACCCAACTCACCATCACCACCAAGGTCAGTGGGAACAGGTCCTGTCAGTCAGTCAGTCAGTCTGTCAGTCAGTCAGTCAGTCTGTCAGTCATGGCTATGATGTTGATTTTCCGTGTCTCATTTTACACATGTAATAATAATCTTAAGCAAAGTAGGCAAGGCTAATGTTGATTGAGAGTCTAAACAGTTTAATATGTAATTCTATAATATATGGCTTTACAAGATACTAATAATTTGTTCAGTAAAAATTGTGAGACAAATAAAACAGTATTGATAATTAATTAAATCTACAGACATGACTCCCTATCTGTCTTCAGGTCCATGCAGTGTTGCAGTCCATCTCCAGCAGTTTCACAAAGTGGAACAAACACATGATGGACACCAGAGACTACCAGGTGTCCTTCACCTTCGGCCCATGTGACCACCAACAGGAAGTGAGCCTGCGAGTCCACCTGCTCGACTTCATCTCCAAAAGTGTACGTGGCTTTTATCTCATGTTTGAAGTCTAGTTTGTGTTGCTGTGTTGCTGTGGGTGTGTGGGGGGGTGGGGGGGGGGGGGGTATTTTGTTCAGGTGGGGAGTGAATTAAATTGAGGCCATGTAAAGGTAGACGTCGGGTATTTTGGTGGAAAATGTGTCTTGGACTTTGCACTGAGAGCAGACGTCTGCTGCCATTGGTTACATGAATAAAACATTTTCCAAATTATTATTTAAAGTAAAATTATAACATATGATGAGATGACTAATTTGTCTCCTGTTATTTTCCAGGGTTTCACTATACGCAACACGCGTGTTCACCACATGAGTGAACGAGCCAATGAAAACACAGTGGAACACAATTGGACGTTCTGCCGACGAACTCGGAAAGTTAGTGACTGACGGATTAACCACATGGATGGACTGGACGTTACCATGGTGTCCTCAGATAAACAGAGATTTGTTGGTGATGGTGGTTTTGTTGATATGTGATGTTTTGCATGATGTGTGTTGTTTTTGAGTAGTTTCCTCAGTCTACTCAGAAGAGTAACTGTCAGGCTAGCCATTAGCCGCTTTTGTTAATTATTGTCAAGTTTAAACATGCATTTAATTTGCTTTATACGTACGGCCAATACAACAATGTTTTAGAAATTAGTGGGTTTCTGGGTTAGACTGACATGATGCATTCCAGAAGTGAAGCCAGTTTCAAAGTTCCAATTGTGGTCCAAAAAAGTGAAGTCGAATAAAAAGCAGGAGAAGTCAACTTAAAGGCAACAGAGTTTATTGTATAGAAAAAACCCGAGAGTATTCACGTGCCCAAGCAGGTGTCTCTTTTTCTCTGTCCTGCACAGTTTTGACCATTCTTGACACCATTATACTCTGTTCAACTCGGTTACTATTTTTTAAAAGATATCTTGATCACTTTTGACACCATTATATTTCAGTGAGCCCTTTTTTTTTTTTAAAGATTATTATTTGTAGTTGTACACACAAATCATCCTGATTGATACACACAGAATATATTGTTTGATTCATGGTTATTGTGCTAAACTTATTCTAATCATTGGCAAATCATATTTCTCTTTAACTTCAACACACTTTAGATTGTTGTGCAGATTACAGGTATATAGTGACATACATATGTGACATTGTATAGTGACGAAAAATTACACTACACTCCCTGGTGGCTGGTTACAAGATAGGTGTTAAACCTTACCTCCTCCATGTTAACAGAGAGGACATGGACCAAAGTACAGATCAGCCCTATCACATATCTGTTATGTGTCAAAAACCATGAATGAATAATAATTGCAAATAAAACAGTCTATAAAATGATCATCTTGGGTTCTTTTTTCTTCTAAACCTCAGATCTCACCTTGTCTGCTCGACAAGCTAAAGGATAGGAACACTTTTTTCAAGTCTCTTAATGTCATGTTATGTGTCACACTTATTCCAGAACAGCAGCATGTTATCTAAAAATCACACACTGAGGGAGCAGTATGCCTGCCTTGTTTTGTTCAGTGTAAACAAGCAAAGCTAGCATAAAGAAAGGTATTCTTGTATTCACATTTACTAATTTAGTAAATGCTTTTATCCAAAGTGACAAACTGTGGGACAACACTAAAGCGCAATAGGAGACCTTGAAGAAGTCCTGAAAGTGTTCAATAAGAGTGGGAGATGAGGTAAAGAAGTGTTCTGAAAGTGAGCACTAAGTAGTGATGGTGTTAGAGGAGTAGGTGCTCTTAAGAAGATAAGAGTCTCAAAGAGGTTCTTCAAAATGAAGAGGAACATGGCTGCTCTCAGAGCATTAGAGAGGCTTCCTCGTTCCAACATCAGGAAATCAGAGATCAGTGAAGTTGGGACAAAACTGCAGGACCACTGATTAAAAGGGTTTTAAATATATCACTAAACAGCATACTTAAATTCCTCCCCTCACCTGTGAACAAGACCCAAGCTACTTACTCGCTTTCTCTTGGGGCACCAACTCACTCCAAACCCAGAGAGAGAAATCCACTATTTTCCAGCATAGAATCATGGCCTCAGACTATGAGGTACTGACTCTCATCTTGACAGTATCACATGTGGCTGCACACTGCCCCTATGCTCTTGAAGCTGTGGTCTGATGAAGCCAACAGAACTACATCATCTGCAAAGAGCAGGGATGCAAGTTTGAGATCTCTAAACCAGACACTCTCCTCACCTCGGCTGTGCCTCAAACATCTGTCAGTCATTATCACAAACAGAACAGATGGGAAAGTAAAACCATGGCAGACTCTTACTTGTTCAGAAGATATTCACAGCTCTCATTTTGGTTATCCATTGACTGGCAATTGCCCCAGTATCCCTTACTCCCATAGTACCCTCACAGGTTCCCCCTCACAGACACAGTCATATGACTTCATATCCAAACAATATGTAGACTGGATGGTCATACAGCATCCACAATTCAGACAGGTCACTCCTTCCACCAAATGCTCTCCGGGTATTGGTTAATTATTTCCTTTGTGAACCTTAAAGTCCCCAGGTAGAACCCTTTCAAAGACCCCACTTAGAGACTCCAAGAAGGCCTGGTACTCTGGACTGCTGTAGTGCATAAACAGCCAGAGCCTTATGCTTAGTAACTTGAAATTGCATAGAGATGACCCCTTGTTCGCTCGATCCCACAGTATATCTATAAATGAGAAGACAATCTTGAGCCCATCTGCTATTGTCCTATGACAAACTGGCCTCAGAGGGGATTGGCCAATATTTCTTGCCTTCTGGTGTAGACAGCGGATATCTGGCCCAAGACTCTGTCTTCCATTGTTTGCAGTCCAACAATCCCACATGAGTCAAACGTTTCTAGTGCATCACCACAGCCAGTCCATCCATTATCTACATAATGATATATATATACATAATACATAATATACTGTACTTATCCTTTGAGGGTCTTAAGGGGGCTGGGGCCAATCCCAGCTGGCTCTGGGTGAGGGGCAGCGTACACTCTGAAGAGATTTCCAGTCTATCATAGACCTTAAAGACCATATAACAACCATGCTCACATTCACACGTACTAACCAATTGCGAGTCTCCAATTATCCCAAGCTGCACGTCTTTCATCTGGCAAGGGGGAAACACACAAACTCCACATAGAAAGACCCACGTTAGCCAGCAGGTTTGAGGTTGCTATGAGGTGACTGTGCTAACCATCGCACCACTGTGCGATTCCTGTGCCCCTTCATGAAAGAAACTAAATAATATATGACCTACAGGGCTCAGCTGGACATTGTGTTTATAGCATACAAGAAATAAACACCCAGATGCTTTTTTATCCAGTGTCAAGATAATGTATGAGAGGGGATGGATATTGTGACGTTATATTGAATATTTAAATTGGATTAACATTTCTGATTTAAACATGATTAACAGATTTTATGCCTAATTATGTTTAAATTGGCTGCAGAGAAATAATAAAGATATTAGGCATTATTCTGTTAACATTTAAAGCCTAGATGCTATTTGTGCTTGACGAATGTGCAATCCCAACTAGGCGTTGCCCCAAGGATCTGTTCAAAACCTGAACCTGTCACTGATACCTGTTGCGTAACGCTAGTTCCTTATTTACACAGAACTATTCCTTTTTTCCAGAACAGGGGACTTCCACTTCAACAGATTTTGCATTGTGAAATATCACGGAATGTTCCAGTACACAGAGTGACAATGAAACAAGATCTATTAATCATCTATTAAACCTCATTAATCATTACTTTTAAGAATTTACTTCTGGTCACTTTTCATTCTTTTCACCAGAAGCTTTATCACTTTAATCATCCACGACCTCTTTTGCGACAATACATAAAATGAGTTAATTGCCGAAGCGCTTTAGCCACAAACACAAAAATAGGCACAAACCCCCGCCCCGTCATGACATCACAGCCAGTCTCTTTGGCCGAGCCTATGTTGGTTTATTTACTGTGTTGTTATAGACTCAAACGTCTGATTTAACTATCTGGGAATTTTGTTGTATTGTTTGTTTTTTTCGGAAATTATTTCGCTTGTTTAACCAAAGATAATTTTTGGTGCCTGATCGCTTGTAATTTGCGATTTAACATCATTGTGCACTCAAGTTCCTCATTGCAGAGATGTAACGTGAATATAAACATTGCTAAAGCTATTTAGCCACAAACACAAAAATAGAAATAAACCCCGCCCCCGCCATGACGTCAGAGTCTCGGTAGGTTTATTCATCGTGTTGTTACAGATTCAAACATTAGTTGGTTTATTTGTTTTCTTGTTATAGATTCAAACATTAGTTGGTTTATTTGTTTTCTTGTTATAAATTCAAACGTCTCATTTAAATATTTTTTTAAAAATAATCCCCCCCCCCTCGGAGCTCACAGGGCCCGCCCCCTGTCCTCTCTGCCCGGCAGCCTCCGCCTCTCCTCCCCGCTCCGTCTTCCACTCCGCTGTTGTTGCAGCCATTTTACTGTGGACCGTCGGCGCAGCGGCGGGCGGAGGATGCCGACACAGCCCCGGTAAAAGGTAATTCTGCCGCCACGTCCACCACTTTCACGCAGGTCGGTCACCGCAGGTGTCTGGTGGATTGAATCTGCCGGAGAAGCGGAGGAGAGCGGGGGTGGGGGGGGGGATCCAGCGACCGCGGCGGCGGCGGCAGTAGCGGCGGCGGAGAGAGCTTCAACTCACGGCAGAGGTTGAGAGTGTTTGTCGCTGCCACTTCTCAAGTCCGTGAGAAAAATGGCGGCGTCTTTCACCAAACCAATGAAAGTTGTAAATGAGCCTCTACGTGGAGACTACGTGAATTATGTAGCCGGCCACAGTTCAACAGTACCGGGAAGCAATCTTAGCGTTACTGTCGCGTCCATGTGGGGGCGCTCAAGAGCCAGCGAACAACTCAGAATTGCGCACATCTTGTAGCTTCACCCTCATTGGCTGGAGCGTTTCCCCAGCATGGCAGATTCTTTTTAAAGGAAGTGTCTTTTCTTTGTTCTCTTTACCCGAGTAAACATCTCAGTTAGCTTGTTTGGTAACGCATGTCACATTTCCATGAGAAGAATCCTTATTAACAACTTCCTAACTCTGAATTTTCCATTAAGCTGTGAGTTCACTGGCGATGACATTTTTTAAGAAATTGTGTAAATAGTGAAATGTTATTTTTTAAGTCACAGTAGAAAGTTGATATATTAAGTCCCCGTGTGTGTCTGAGGAAACTTCATCGGTCTCGTGTTTCATCCACTGTTGTTAAGCCTTTGCATTTCCAATATACGTTACTCGCTAGCTAGCTTACTTTGCTGTCGGTGAAGCCACAGAGGCTAACAACGATGTTGCCTAGCAAAGACATAATCCCTTGGACACCAATCAAACTGCACAAGTTCCGTTTTGAAAGCACCTGTACTGGTAATTTGATGCTGTCAATTTGTTTGTTTCTCTATCCCCATTATTGCCGGTGATATCTAGGGAAATGTGTTTTAAGCAGGGCTATAATAACTAATCGATTAAGATTGATTATATCAATATTTGGCAATACATTTCACCATTAAGTACTTGGTTCTTTGTCTTAACGCGCTGTGGCAGTGTGTACGGGGGTGATGATGTTGGATAATAAAAATCCAGCACACGACCAGATTCTAAGTCCAGACTTCTATTCCAACATGTAAACTTCACAATTACTGGATTCCCAATTGTGTTCAAAAGAATTCACTAGAGATGATCAAAGTTCAATGTAGTAGAGTTTATGCTTCACAGGAGATAAACATGAGCTGGCTCCGCAACCAAACTGAAGAGTAAACTCGGTACTCTTATATAGCCCAAACTCACCTCCTTTCCTCCTGTCCCAAAAATAATTGTGTCATGTTTTCCAAAATCTGGACTCGGTCTCCCCCTACTGGTCCCAATTTTTTGTCTTAGATCTGGGGAGTCTTGGGGATTTGATGAGTGCTGGGAAATCTTGGGGGTGTCAGACTGTTTTCTTATACATGTTATGCTGCACTAGATTTGTTGTTTGTTCTAGATTTGTAGAACGGGGTATATTGTATCCTTAACACAGAGTATATTTAATAAGAGCATTCTGCACACAGTAAATATTTAACAAGGGTTTTCCATGACAGTCAGCTAGCTAGCACCGTGTCTTGTGTTCACATGATGATGCTGTCTCGTCCTCGGAGTTAAGACCTTTTTTGAACTATCAGCTCCAAAAAGTAGCATACAAAGTAATATTCTCCCAAAAATCGTTGAAAATCCCTCCATGTGTTGTTGACGTCTTTTGTCTATTCGCAGACAGATTAAAAAAAACACGCTGATGTCGGTGTGCTCTGTAATTCACTATCAACTCAGGGACAAATCTGTATAGTTATTGCACGACAGAGAGAACTGCATTGAATGTTGCAGCTGAGACCATGAGGTCTGACTATTTGCATGAACAATAAAAAACGTTAGGGACCACAGTGCATGCAGTAGCTTGCTGTTGTGCAAGAAGGCAGTAACTTGCACACACAGATGCACTCTGTCACGTGGTTGCTTTCTTAAATACCTTTGTACACACCAATGTGTTGTTTTAGTTTATTATGATACTGTGGCAGGACTAATTAGAAAATGGCGGGCCACCACCATCTGCATGTTTAATGGGAAACACTGAACACTATCTCACCCATGTTTGAAATTGTCCAGTCTAGTGTGTGGAACATCCACTGTCAGATAAACAATACAGAGTTGTACAAACTTACCTGATCAGAGATATCGGTCAGCAAGAACAATCCCTGGTTAGTAGGAGGACCAAATTTTTCCATGACAGAGCAGTCAGCTGTAAGAGCCCTGAACTTCTGCTTTAAACACTAGCTTTATGCCATTTTATTCTCTGCTCCAATTCAATGGGTAATGGACTGTCTTGTAGGAATTTGGTAATTTGTCTATAGTGTTGGGCAAAATGTCTTCCTCATTTTTTGAACATATATTCTTGGAAAATTTCAACTGATTGTGGATGTTTGCTTTGTTAGTGGTCTTGCATTTTGTTGGTTATTCTGCTATATTTAGGGCCGGAGCAGCAACAGTGTCAAGTACCCTATGGGGATTGCTCAGGTTATTATTAGGGCCCGAGCAGCTCAAAAAGCAAATTTTCTGCTTTGTGAATATGACATCTCGGGAACGCCTTGAGGGAATCCTTATGTGTAAACCATTTACTTGAAGTTGGATTTCATTTTGCTAGCCAAAGGTCACGGTGGCCTCATGAAGTATGCTAATGTTTTTTTGAACATAGTATCAGCTTCAGGGAATTTCTTTGAACTTGGTACAGACGTTCATTTGGAGTCAAAGATGAATTGATTAGATTTTGGTGCCTGGAGGTAAAAGGTCCAGGTCACTTTACACCCCAGTGAATGTGATATATCAGGACTGCTTGCAGGGAATTTCATTACATCTGGCACAATTCACTTTAACTACCCAATTCTAATCAGGTAACCCATAAGTCAAAGATCACTGTGACCTCTCAAACACATTTGGATGTAATATCTTTATTACATCCACAATAGTTCTTTCAATTTTGGTATACATCTTCACTTGGACTCATTAATTAACTGATTAGATGTCAGTGGACAAAGGTCAATGTCACGCTGGCCTCAAAACATATTTTTGCCTTTTGAATGTCATATCTCAAGATGTCCTGAGAGAATTGCATAAACATTTGATCAGTTGTCACTTGGATTCAAAGATAAAGTCATTACGTTTCAGTGACCTTATGTGAATCTGGAAATAGAACGTATGTTAAACTTTGTACACAAAAACTGCCCTGATTTATGGACGCTTGCCAGTTGCGTCACAGTCAGTCTGGTCATCGGCAGGGCTTGTAGATAGCCCACTACATCAGTAGCCAGGTGGTCCATCAAAACATCCATACAGTTTTTACCATCCTCTGCATGGAGGCAGACATCGGTGCTGCATCCAGTGCTCATGAGTTTATCACATACATGCTCATGGGACTATCACGAGAATTGATACATCAGAAATGGCAACATGTAGACATGCTGTCTATTATCCCAGAGATCTACTATGGAGAATACTCACTAAGATTTCCAGTGGTCCAGGAATGTAAAGATGGTGCCTTGCTAGATTGGCCAACCTAGGGAAGTTTGTTTTGTTATATATATACTGCAGCCTAGTCATTTAGCACAGGTAGGCTGGCTCCTCCAGGATGGTACATCCATATGTGCGGTTGCAAGAAGGTTTGCTCTGCCTCCCAGCAGAGTCTTAAGAGCATGGAGGAAATACCAAGAGACTGGCCATGAGACAAGGAGAGCCGTACAGGGCTGGGCTGTAGAAGGGCATCAACCCAGCAGCAGGGCTGGTATCTGCTCCTTTGAGAGTAGTAGTAGTAGCAATAATCGTGAAAATCTTGAAACCATGATATTTCCCCTGACAATAATTGTGGCACCAAAATGTCATATTGTGACATCCCTAGTAGCAGTGATGAAATTCATGCAAGTTTTAATTTTTTACTTTGATTTTCAGTGTGGATTCCACTCCAGAAAGAAAATGTATTGATTTCAAAAAGAGGCCTGGATTTGTCTTTTTATGCCTCCGTGCAGTTTTGCCTTCAAGTACATCACCGCAATATTTTAAGGTCATTAATTTAAGTGGCAACAGTTTAATTTGGTGGTTACATTACACTTTAAGAAGGCACATTGGAAGTATGTTTTTTTGTGTCGTTATTTTGTCAGTGCAGTGTGGGGTGATAATGTCTTGTTTTCTGTCAGGTTTATTGACTGATGTATTCTGGGTGAAAAATCTGTCATTATTGAAGTTGTGGAATAATTGGAAACTCGGCATCTTTATCCATGGTTATTACAAAAGTCCAGTCCATGACTTTATGGCGATCATGCCAGCACCAAGCTTTAGACATGAGTATCAGGTGTTAAAGTAACGCACAGTTAAGTCTTTTGTCTCAGTGCTTGCTCGGTTTTGTAGTACATTTTAAACTTGCATTAAAAAACTGTTCTACCTTGAACTAAAAACACTGTTAATTTGTGACTATGAATCAAATAGGGGAGGGTCTGCGTTTATCTGACACTGATAAAGACTTTTCTCCCACACAGTGTTACACATCAATGACGCAGCATCAATAATGCAGTCTATCCAAAGCTGTCAATCAGAAACTCCAACACACACACACTCTCTAAACCCCTGAAACCCACCAGCCCTTACCCTCCACTCATCCCACTTCAGTCACTTTTAATGTAGAGACTTCCTTTAAGCATTGCACAGTCATTTTGAATCGTGGGAAGTTGTCTTGTTTACAGTCGCAACATGGAACCTGTCTGGATTGTTCAACAGTAAATGTCTCCTTTGTTTTTCTCTTCCTTCTTCTCTCTCTCCCTTCTAGTCGTCTATCTTTCCTCCTCCCTTTCCCTGTACTTACTTATTTTCACCGTTGGAAGAATATGATTATATACAACTAGCGGTGGAAGCTGACTACTCAACAGCTTTACCTATGTACCGTTGACTCAGTGGCTACACGATAAATCATTGGCACAATAGGCTAGTAAGTCCAATGTACCTTGGGAAAAGGAAGCCCTTAGACCGAAGACATTGGTAAATAGGCTACTTATACCATAGGAGGCTAGATGGCTACTCGATTTTAAGGCACCAAAACAGAGCTTGCATAGCAATTGAGTGTGAGACATATTACCAGGTAAAACCTAGGATGAAAGACACCCTTTGATTTATGATGGCGGCCATTTTTCTTTTTCGTGTTTTGTCTTTTTATTTTATATGTTTTTTGCTAATAAAACCGTTGTTTAATAGAATCATTTGTTGTTGAGTCGTCTGTGGCAACGCACCAAGCATATAGTTTTCTTCAGCTTTTTTCTGCCGGAGGAGGATTCCGGGGTTTGGTTTCTCCAGTCCCAAAGGTCCTGTTAGCCTCGGCAGCTAACGTTGCTCATTGTGATTAAAGGTATAAAGGCCCAGGTGTGGGGAACTGAGCAAGGGCCACTGTGGCTTCTGTGTGTCAGCTCCGAGTAATGAGCCAGCTGGGGTCATTCTCTCAGTAGGTTTGGAGCTTTAGCTTTTCTTTGTATTTGCTGGGTTGTTGTCTGCTGGTCTGATCATGTGAGGTGTCTGATTACATTGCTGCTGACAGCAAACTAGCTTCTTCTCCAAGCAGTAATCCACCCAATAGAAATCTACACCCTTTGTGTTTAAAGCTTCAGTAGTACATGTTCATTCATCTCATTTAATGAGGAGCAGGAGAGTCATTGGTCAGACAGAACCAGGGGGAATGATTGTGATGATAGAGAAATGTTTGGAAAAGACAAAAAAATGTCTGCACTTATAAATTCAAAAACTAGAGTCGTACTCTGTAGAGTGCATATCACTGCTAGTAATGGTTGTCCTATTTAACTCTATCTAGATTCTGATTGGGATTTACTTCAAATTGCTTTTATATATATCCAGGAATTATTTTAGGGGAATTGGTTAGGAAATTCACTTTCTCAAGAAAAACACAGGCCTCTCCTCATTCCAGATCCACCCTAAAATTAAACTCCATGTTCCATCATTGAAAGTTTCATGGAAATCCGTTAAGAAATCAATTTTTGTTATAAAATCCCCCAAAATTATTATTGTTACTGATGACAAACATTCAAATTAGCTGGATGATAAATTAATTGTCTCCGTTTGATTTGGCTTTTTGTTGGGATTGTTTTCTATCTTGAAAGGCATTATATAAACAAACCTTACTTTTGAACTACCGGTTTTCATTTCATCTCATTCAATAACAGGCATCTAAGGAATATAAGGTTGCATAGCAAATACTCTTGTTTTAAATGCAGTTCCTAACCAAATGCGGTTTTCTCTTAACAGGACTATAAACATGGCTGACGCGGGAAAAGGTCCCGTGGTTGGCCGGCCATCAGCATTTGCGAATGAAGAGCGGAGGGCTGTTCATTCCTGGTCCCGGATCTCGTCAGCGGGGCACAACGTCCTTCTGGATGCTCTAAAGATCCTCAGTCCAATGTCTCATGACTTCTCGTGCACGGAGGAGTTAGTCAACTTCCTTCACGAGCTGAGTGAGGAGGGCCACAAGCCCCTTGTGCTGAGCAGCAAGGACGTCTACAGATATCGCTCCTGCACAAACCAACTCTTAACTGTAGATATGCTGAAGCCACCCAACAAGAACGTTAGACCGACAGCCAAGAGAAGGGGAAGGAGGCCTATGACCAAAAAGAGAGAGGTACACCCATCCTGGAACACTTCTGAGAAGAGACCCATAATTCAAGGGGTCCGCCCACCAGAGCTACTTGTGGACCATCCCACCATTGTCGGCAGTAGGACCCCCATTCGGACTGCAGAGATGTCACGGACACTGCAGGTGCAGCCATGTCTCAGATTGACCAACATTGAAGGCCTGTCGGGATTCCACACGGCCAGACTCCAGATCCACACTACCTGGGACTCGTCCTCTGAGGCACCCTCTGTTGCCTTTTCACAGCAACAGCACCCTCCAACCCTTTCAGGAATACCTTTGCAGCCTTCTCAGAATGGTGGTGGGGCGCCCACCAAAGCTGTGGCCTTGTTTAGTCAGAAGAGCCTGTCCTGCCCTATCCGACTTGATGGTGCCCTCATTGGAGATTCAGCACCAGTCTTCTACGCTAATGGTATGGCGTTTCCACAGACTCACACAGAGCTGACCAGCAATGGCTTCCACAGGGGTAGTCAGGGCTCCAACGAACTAAACAGCCCGGCCCGGCAGAGAAATGGCTGGAAGGACAAGAACAGTTTCAGATGGAAAGTGATAAAGGTGGACGACTCTCGGTCGGTAGCCGAGGCTCGCAGAAAAGCGCAGAAGATCCTACAGGTCAATCTTTCGCCAGTGATTCAGATCCAACCTCTCAATCACGTCTTGAGAGACTTTAGATACCAGAATAACTGACAGTTCTCCCCAAACCCTCACACATTGTGTCCTAGCAGATGTTAGTGTTTTACGTCCATTAGCCTCTACCTGGCTGAGCCCCAGTGTTCATAGCAGACATCATACATGGGTTTTTGTGATATCTGCTGAATGTTGGAGGTAAAGAAATTACTCTTATTGTGGAAGTTCTTGTTCCTGACAGGTGCACCTGGGAAAGAAAGGTGTTTGAATTTGGATGAGGCTTTTTCTGGGAAATGTCGATTGGAAGAATGCCGGTACATTGTCACTGTCAACATAATATGCTGAGTTGACAATTATAATGTACCATATACACAAAGCTAAAGCTAACCATCATTCTGCCCAGGTGAACTGGCAACTAGCTAATGTTTGTGGTGACTTTATGGGCACAGCATTTAGGTCAAAGGTGAATTTTCTGTCCTTAAACAAGGCACTTGGTGTGACGAGTGCTCAAAGAGCATTTATGCAGTTACAAGCTAGTTGAAGAACAGCACCATTGTTCCAAAGTGTTTTTACATGCATTGCTTGTAAACAGTGCTCTCACTCTGTGGGGCCCAACTATCCATAGCAAAGAAAGAATTAATGGCAGAATAGGACGATCCCACTTCACACCCAGATAACTGGTGAATGAACAAGGCAGGTATGCAAACTCTTCAGATGAGCAGATGTGATTGTTGGTTGGTTCTGGGAAAACAATTAAACTTAATTAAAAGGTGGGGGGAGTTTAGTTTGTCTTCCTTTTTTGTATTTTTGTTGTTTCCACTGGAAATGAAGAAGGCTCTTGGAGTGAGTAGAGCAGGGAATCTAACCCATGGCACACAGATAGATACCTCGACGAACCGCAGTTCTTCAGAAAGTGTTACATTGGTTTATCTTATTCACACATTGAGAAAAAAATACAGATTACAGAGTAATTTTGACTTTTGGGAATATTTTATGCCAGGTTCTTTTTAAAATACTTTAGAGATAAATTGTGAGAAGAGACAGAGAATTCGGAAATGAAAAAAACCTTGCTTCATTCTGTTTTCTCAATATTAATCTTCATCTGAGAATATCTTGATTGTGATATCTGAGTTTCTTCTCCACATTGTTGCTTTACCGTCAAAAGTATAAAATGGAATAACATTAAATATTGAAAATGTGCACTCGAGCTGCTGCCGTCTTTGCACTTAACAGGCAACTAACGTCAGTCGGACTCTTGATGATTCGAGACATTTGGCTGATATATTTGTGGTTACATTTTGTTAACTTGAGCATCAGGCCTGTTTATTTCCTCTCAACTTAACTTTGAAGCTGCAGCATATTGATGTTTTATCTTCCATCAGAGATGCTGCAGAGAATTGCCCAACAAAGGCTAGGCTGTGGTTTCTTGAATTCTTCTGCCGTAATACGACTGTTGTGACTCTTCTTAAGATTAAAAAAAGCACTTTGAGTGTGGCAGTGATTTCATCGTCACTTGTTCCAGATCCTGAAAGTATTTTCGTTTGCTGCAGCTTGTTGAAAATATTCCCTCAAATTAAGTTTCACTTTCAGTTAACCTACACTGGTTTTTGCTACTGGTGCTAACTTTGCCATGTAGGTGCTGAATGAAGTGACTGGCACTAATGTCCTGTTTCACCTCTACTGGTTCAGATTGGAGTGTTAAAGAGGAATGACTTCCTGTGAATTATTCTTTGAGGGACCGATGTGATCTTTGAGTGCTGCTGCCCCCTGCAGGTTGTGATGAGAATGCCAAACCGCCTTGTGTGCTTTCCGAAGGGTTCCTACTGTGAGGAACAGCCAGATCTCTTGATGTCCAAATATAACGACTAAACCAACATTAGGTCAGTGAATCTTGGAAGGTCTTGCATTTCAAAAATCATGAAATTGATGCCATAGAAAATAAAATTGGATTTCCAAACATTGATGTAAATACGGGTTACAAATAATTAATTTGATTCGCTGAGGAAACCTGCTTTCAGTTTTGAAAACACTGTTCTTTAATAAGAAAACTGTTTCTCTGTTGAACCTGACACCACATCAGTGTTTGGTGCTCACTTTGGATTTTTGTATGTCCGATGAATTTTAGGTTCTGGAGGAGGCTCGTTGTCTCCTTGTATCCTTCTGTCTTTAGCCATGTTCATGCCCCCCAACAACTCCCTTTTGTAGATCTTCTTTCTGTTAGTCTTGTTTGTGCAACACTTGTATGATATTGTATTTCCTACATGATCTTTGAAAACCTTTTGTTAAATAAAAAATATTTAAAAATAAATTGCACAATATTTTCCTCTGATACATTTTCCAGAACATGTTGACTTCAGCAGGCACAGTACTGAATCTGATCTAATGCTGAGAACAATATCATGTGATCACATTGTTTATTTTCGTGGACGTATGACTCAACAAGCCATAAGTTGTGTCATTGGGCTGTTGTTGAGCATCTGGGGAATAAATAAACTGCTGTGTTCTTCATGAACTGGTTGGAACTTTGGGTTTGACAGCTATCATGCTAACGGCACAGTTGAGTCAGTGGTGATTTGGTGATTAGTTTGAAATGAATCCTGAAGTGAATGGACATGTTGGACTGTTGCTGGTTCTAAAAGAAAAATCACGTTTGTAGTTCTTGAAGTAGAATGATTATATTCATGTCGTGGGCCACTGGAAATCAGCATGAACAAAACCAACAAATGGATGCTGATGTGACTTTGGATCGTTGACCTGATGAATTATATTTAAGGAATAATTTTTAATTATCCCTTTAAATTAAAATGTGGTTTTGAGTTTGCAGGTGTAGGGCTTTTCTAATACCAACATTCTGTTTGATCCCACCACAATGTTTACAGATTTCTATAAAGTGTTGATTCTCTAGTGAGTCCACGGATACTTGATCCGGTTACCAGCCGGTTTGGTAAATGGAGTCAAAAGTAGACCAACGTTTTCCCTGGTCGTTCTCTGGGTGTTCACCGTTTCTTACAACAAGAACTTCTCCAGGAACCGAGAAACATTTTACTAAACTAAAGAAAATTTTTTTGAAGAAGAACTTGTCTAAAATGAGTTCCTGTCCTTCCTAGCTTGTTCTCTGACGGTAGAACTCGCTGAAGACCTTGATGCCTACAAACCTGCAGACCACCACAAAACAACAATGGCAGAACTTGTGAATTTATTCACCTTCATGTATTTTTATTGGAGCATCAATTTGGATAAAAGAGTAAATTAATTAAAGTTTTTTTTTCCAGCTGAGCGGGAGCACATCTCAACAAATTTGACTAACTTCCTTTTAGTCCTCAGAAAATGATATCTTCTATACTGCCCAGCTAAGCCTAGCTAGCTGACGTTAGCATACACTGGCGCAAAACTAACATACTTAACTTATAAATTGTAATCAGTACATGGACCATTACTAGCCGTAAGACTTAGAAACAATAAATTCCCGTAAGCTGTTTTCAGGCATGAACTCTGGATGATGTCTGCAGAATTCCATCTGGAGTTTCTCCAGAGGTTCCATCCACCCATCCGTGAACGACTCATGAAAAGAACTCAAGATGGAAACCGCATCGTCAAGTGGCAGCATTGAGATGTGAGAACATCACTACCCAGTTAGAGCAGAGTATGTAAATTATGTGTTAATCACACACATGGCCGCAAGCTTCGGGCTCATGAGACACGACAGGGAGAGCGACGGATTGAGATGAGCTGCTCGGTTTCTCCTCCACCTCTTTGTCTCAGTCAGGAATTCAGACGTGAGCTATCGTCACTGTTTTTAATGAGGTCTGCGGTGACGGCGAGGCAGCCAGCAGCACTGGAGGTCAGAGTTCCTGATCTTCTACACCTCCCACTCCTCCAACCGCTTCTTCCCCCACAGTGTTGACTCTCAGGCAAAACCTTTTCCAATCTGCTCTCCTCTGCCGCCAGCACCGCAGCTCAGCTCTTTGTATGTTGGGGGGGGAGGGAGCTCAGCATGTGGAGAAGCAGCTGGAACCTCCACAACTGCTCGCTCTCCATTTTGGAAAGGTTGCCTCATCACAGCTACTCTCAATGTGGCTCATATATTTAGAATCACACTGCTCCATGTGTCCTCGTGAGCATTGATTTCTTCACGTGGACGACAGAGGGAGGAGGTCAGGCTTGTTTTTTTGTGTCTTGAATGTCAGCAGCGGAGAAGTAAGGCTATTTTAAGTGAAGGTCTACAGAGTGACAGAGCGTTTGGGGTTTTTCGGCGCAAGCTAGCGTTCAATGCAGCAGAACAACAAAGTCTCATACAGTGAGATCAGAGCAGCCGAGGAGGGGAGGACATTTCCATCATAAACAACATGGCTGCTTTCACACTGGCTGTGTCAACACGTTTCTTGTGTTTGAACATTTCTGTTTCAGACGTAGACGCCAATAACACAAGGACACTGACCCAGAGGTTTGTGGTTTTCGTGAAAATTAAAAAAATATTTCTGTTTGCAAAGAAATTACGGAAATCCAAGAAAGGATCGTTATTTCATTTGTTATTAAAACAGATACAGGGTTGGATGATGTGGAGTTTTTGGCTTTAAAAGCTAATTATCACTAAAATGTTAAATGATTAACTTCAACAAAACCCAATAATTTTAATATCAATTTATTTCAGATTATTAGCCAAACAAGTAGTGTGACAAACTGTGTAATAGATTATTAAATTTCACAGAGACATTTAGATAAAACATCATTTATAACACGAGTATATATTAAAACCAGGAACATCAGGAACACATTAGTTCATTTTGGCTCCTTTGTTGTTCCTTTGATGTCGCTGCAGCAAACTGATGCAACATTTTATTTTTGCTGTCTGTTGTTGCCCATGACAACGTCAGATCATTTGCTGTCTGTGATGGTCGGTGGTTTGAACGGAATCAGACGAGTCTGCAGTGATGTCCTTCTCACAGCCCCTCGTGTCATTAAGCTGTTTCATGACCACATCGGCACTTTCAGAACTTCAGTAGTGAAAAACATCATCAGAGATCGATGATTAAAAAAAGCAGCGGGCAGACAGACAGAGTCAAACGTCATCTCAGAGACTGATTTGAAATGTTGGTGGACATGATGGTTGGAGGAAACGCAGCTGCTGCAGTGCGACAGTAGTTTGTGTTCAGGGGTTGAGGCTGATGTTCTTCAAACTGTTTGATCCTTCTGAAGATCTAATTTAAGAGCAGCTCACAAATATCATTTCTTCCCTAAAAGAACGTCCTCTTGGACATTTGTCAGGGACTATCTTCAGAGGCGGATTAATACATGTTTCTTGCTCTTGTGAGTTCTTCCAGCAGCAGGTGTCACTGAGTCAAAATAAGGCACAGAGTGTTTAATAAAGATTCATTTATTGGTGTGTTTTTAACCGTTTGTGAAACAAAGCAATTCTGTGGACAGAGGAGTTAAATATAAAATACATCTGCATTTATCTGTGAATTCACAACCTGCTCTCAGCTGAGTTTCATAATTTTCACACATGAACTCTCTGGAATCTGGAAAATTGGGTGCAGACTTGCTCATTGTGAATTTTCCTGCTGTATTCTCTGGAGGCCTCACTCACACATTTTCTGGACTTTCTACTCAGGGGCAGCAAAAGTTGTGGAAAATATCTGTAGGAATTGACTGTGACATTTGCTAATAAACAGGAAAATGTCCGGACTTCAGTTCGTGTCTAGAATCTGTTAGTCGGGATACTCTTAGCCCATATCCCATCCTTCCAACAAGTTTCATGGAAATGTGTTCAGTAGTTTTTACATAATCCTGTTGATAAACAAACTGTTTTGTATATTTTGTCCCAGGTCGTGGGATCTTCAGGAGTTGTACAAGTGTACACAGCAAATCCAGTTGCTTACATGTACAACTCCTGAAGATCTGAGCTGAAAGAGCCACAGAAACACTTTCACTTCATTTGATTGATTACTGAAAAAAATAGTTTTTCATTTCAGCAAACTGACAACTCGTATTTCTTAGTTGGATATAGATGAACTGTCCAAAGCTGAACCATGATGAAGTCTATAGGTTATTGTGGTTTGTACACAGCTCCAGTTGTTCTGTTTCAACTGGTTTCACTGGTCCAGGTCCAGAATCTTTGGAGGTTCTTCAGGTTCCCCTTCCAGACTGGAGTCCTGCAGGAAGGAGAGAAATAGATCAAACCAGGAAACCGACACTAATAATTACACTTCAGTGTGCAGCGCTGTTCACGATCCTCTCATTGAATTCTCCACCACACAGCAATAAACCTGTTTTCAGCTATTCCCTAAATAAAGAGTTGTGAGAACTGGCTGAAGTTATAAATGTACAGAAAAGACTGTTCACAAACTGTAGCTGGGTTTCTTTTCGACTGTTTTTCAACTTGTCGATTAAAATCCACCATGTGAGTAATCGCTTCTGATTTGGACGTTTAAAACCATCGATCAAGTGTTGAAACAACAATAAAAAACTAGAAGAGAAATGTGCATTTACCAGAACCTTTTTTCATTGATTGTCACAAAATCATGAAAAACGTGATAGATTAGTAAATAAACCCACCTGTTGTCTCAGTGAACAACTAAACTACGTCTGTAATAAAGTGTGATCCTGCAGCTCGGACAGTCGTGAGATGGCGCAGCTGAAAACATCGGTCTGTTCTCTGATAGACAGGGAAAGTGTAAACTACTGAGAGTCTGTGAACTGAGAACCACAGTGTCCTTCACAAATCATTTCACGATTCAAGGTTTTGGTAAAAACCTTTCTTCCTGTGGATTCAGAGAAATTTGTCTTTGTTTTCTTCCTTCCTCTGGGGGCCCCGGTCACCGTAGTAACTCAGCACTCGCTGGTGACGCAGCAGTTGCTTTGCAGAAATGGAAAAGTTGACTGCGATTGGCTAATTAGACAGAATCATTCACAGAGACCATTTTAAGTGTGTGTGCACATGTCATAGACACATTTCTGTTAAAACTTGACTATTGAAGGAGACTTGTTCAACTGTAGACAAAAGCCACATCCCAAGTTCGGAAAAAGTTTTTTGGGTTTTTTTTAAAATTATTTTTGTGCATCATCACATTTAAAGGTTCAGTGTGTAGAATTTAATGTCTAGAAGCACTTCATCCAAAAGTTAGGGGTTGAGTTACACCTGCACCAATACAAACAAACCAATACAACAGTGATTCAGGTAAATGTTCAGATCTCACTCACCCCAAACGGCTCGGTGAAGGCCCTGGAGCCACTGTACAGAGGGTTGGGGATTGAAACCAGCGCTGGTTTGTTACTGCCACCTGCTGCACCGTCCTCATCCTCATTCTG